GGCTCAAATCTAAGGTTTCCAGACGATTTGCATAGCTTTTGAAAAATCATCAACCACTTACACTGAAACCACAATATAATTACAATTGTAACATGTCAACTTAACAAAAAGTAAAAATAAATAAAGAAATAATGGAGGACACTTTTCTCTCCAAATGCTTACATAATCTTCTGCTTTATTATCTAATTTATTGCAAATATTTTGGCTTGCAATCACTAACCCATATGTTATACACACTAATGAAACAGCACTATACATGTGGAAAAATGAGGAGTTTTCAAGTGTAAAACAGGATCAGCTGAAGATAAATGTGCTGATTACAGAGATTGGCACCTGATGCTCCCCAAAGCACAAGAAACTTCAGCTTCTAATCCTGGACAGTGGACACCATCACGCTTACGGCTTACCTATACAGTCTAAAGTCAAACTAAATCACAAAAAGCCCCAAATATGATATATGCAAGCTCAAGAGGTATCTGCACAATATTACACAATTCTTATATTGTTTGTGCTTGAAATAAAATAAAACTATACAGCAACTACTGAAATAACTTATGAAGAAAAAGCTTTTGCATCAATAGATGTGTTTCTTAACTAAAAGATATGCTATGTTAGGCAAGAGGTAATAATACAACAATATGTGACAGCATCCTTAAGATTTCGATACTGAAAGTAGAGGTGAAAAACTCAAGAGTGTTGATGAATTTGCTTCTACAATATTTTATGTTAACCAATGTATCAACTCTGTAGTACCTAAACTAGCATGAATGATATTTTTGACACAGAAAGATCAGATTATAAGGATTCATATAACAGCTAAACACTGGTATGTTTGTGATTTATGAGACCAAAGACAATCAGTCTTCAACCACAAAGGACTCATCACAAATCGCTGGTCACCAGAAATGCACTCAATATGTAAAATTATGCAGTAAGAATGCTCATTACATTACACTAGGGCATTTAGGATTGTAAATGAGAAAGTATGGGGTGATTAAATAGTAAAGAGACCAATCATCAATAGTCGGCAGTTTCACTGACTCTCTCACAGCACCAAAGAGAATAACTTGACACGTAAAAAGTTATTCATGAATTTCAAGTTAGCAGAGCAGCATACAAAATGGATACTTAGATAAAGCGAGTAAACTATAAGATAGAATAGGCTATTTGTGATGGTTAAATGGATACTTACATCAAAGGAATAAACTTTCCAAAGGCTAGGCTATTTGAGGTGGTTAATGATATATCTTAGAAGATATGGGCATAAAAAGAACTAATGTTGATTGTATGAAGTTCCATTCCACGATTACTTAAGAGTGGTGAAGGGGACTAGAACAAGCAATCAATATATACTTTTTTCTATAAGGAACAGCCGGTGTATACAAAAACTACGTATGAACCCTTCACCTCAAAACCCAGTTTGTTACCCAAATTCTCAAAACATCTATTATTCAAATCTAGCTCATTAAAACACCTTTTCACCCCAAGAGCACTCTCAGTCTTTCACTAGGTTGTCAAAGTTAGAATTCCCTAGATTTACTAGGAAGGATTTCTAAGCTTGGTGGTATAAGGTGGAACGAGTTTTTTTGATGAAGTTCGCCCTCATCTGAAGGTGGTAGTGGTATCATTACACTTCGATGATAGTGCTCTCCAGTGGCATCAGACCTTCATGAGGAATAGATCACATCTTCCGCCTCCTACTTGGGAGGAGTATATTTTTGCTTTGGTTGATCAGTTTGGGGGGTAATATGATGATACCATAAGTTAACTTGTTTCATGAATCAAACTGGGGGAGTGATTAAGTTTCAGGAATCCTTTGATAGAGCCATGACTAGGATTCATATGGATCCTAACCATGCTATCAACATATTCTTAAAGGATTGAAGCCAAAATTTAGTGATGTTGTATGAATTCATAGACCTTATTCTTTTCCAGAATCAATATTCTTTAAGCAATCGATAGACATGAAGAGTTCTCCATCATTTCCTAACTCCAATAATAACAGATCTACTAACTTGCCTTGGATGACAAAATCAAGAGATAAGTAATACATACAAGGTGGCTTTCGAAGGGTTGAAAAAGAAACCATAGCCTTGTTGATGAAGATTGATGAGAGGAAATCACAACTAGATAAGAAGGGGCCTGGTAAGGCACAGTTTCTGCCCCAAAGAGCAGAGGAATTGGGAAAAACAAGTTGGAAAACCTAAAATCCAGCTTGACTGAAGAAGTGGAAGGAAACAGAATCTGAGTTTAACTTTTAAATGAAAGTTAATCTGCTGACTGGAATGTAAGAGGGTTGAACAACCAGAGCAAGAGAGAAATGGTGAAGAGTTTAATGCAAAAACGGAAGGCGCGTGTCTAATGCTTTCAAGAAACAAAGATCAGCAAGGAAGTTGAAGTAATGGCTAACCAATTATGGTCATGCCGATGGATGAAGTGTGCTTACCTGGAAACTGAGGGTAGCTGTGGGGGGGGGGGGGTTCTTATGATGTGGGACAATAGAAGCTGGAGTGGCCTCTAGTTGAATCTGGGCAATACTCCATTACTTACGAGTTTGTATCAACTCATAACTTCTATACCTGGTACCTCAATGGAGTGTATCAACTGAGAACCATCTGTGATGGTCCTTGGGTCACCTGACTTTAATACCAACAGAACTATGGAAGAAAGAAGAGGACAAAATCTCTTTTGTTATGTCTGACTTCTCAACGTGGATACAAGAGATGGAATTACATGACCCCCATTTACATTGGTGGAATCTTTTCTTGGTTTAGAGGCCGTAATCATCCAAGTGCAGCTAAGCTAGATAGATTCATATTCTGTATGGAATGGGAAGAAAAATTCAAAAATATCAAGCAAAAGTTGCTACCTAGAGTGCTCTCTCACCACTGCCCTATCATGTTAGAATGTGGAAACTAGGAGAAGAAAAGGTCAAATTTCAAGTTTGAGAACTGGTGGCTCAAGGTGGAAGGCTTCACTGATCTGATTCAAGCATGGTGGAATGAATTCTTGGTGGAAGGATGCCCAAACTACAGACTAAATGTTAAACTAAGAATGCTCAAGGGAAAACTCAAGGAATGGTGCAACGCAAATTTTGGGAAGCTGGTAAATAAGAAGAATAGTTTACTTGAAGAATTGGCTGAAATTGATGAGTTACAGGGAGCAAGAGATTTGACTGAAGATGAAATGAAGGTAAGAGCCACCATAGTAGTGGAGTTGGAAGAGCCGGCAAAAAATGAAGAATCAAAGTAGAGACAAAAATCAAGAGTATTATGGAAAGAAAGGAATGCTAAATGTTCTGGAGATAAGAGTAACAACATTCAGAAGATTATAATGAATAGCGTTAGCCTTATGTATTTTAGGTGTAAACAAGATATGATGGGGGATACTGAACTTTTTGTTGATTTCATAGGCAATTTGTAATCTCTCTAGGGGTAGTTTTTATATGCTTTGATGAGATAGTAAGTGGCCTATGCTCATCATTATTTGATGATGAGACTTTTGTGACAGTTACCCTTATCTCAAAAAAAAAAGAAGAGAAAAGTTTGAGCCCTAGTTATGTTATAAATATGATAAGAAACATCAACCTGAACATGTGTGTAAGGCCAAGGCACATTTATTCTTATTGAAATTGGAAGTGGAGGTTGTATAAGAAGTAGTGGAGGAAGAAGAACAGGTTAATGTGGAATGGATGGCAAAGGCGCATGAAATCTCTATTGATGCTCTTAATAGGACAAGTGGTTATACAACATGGAGGGTTGCTGGTTATTGCCAAAGAAGACCTTTCAACATCTTAATTGATATTGGCTCCACTCAAAAGTCACAACTTCCTTGATAGTGCTTTAGTATCTAGGATGGGCTGGAAGGTGGACCCTTATCAGCTCCTTCATGCAAGCTTGGCAGATGGGAATCCAGTGCCAGTATCAGGAATTTGCTAGGGACTAGAATGATTACTGCAATGCATTGTATGACGTGGTTTTGGGAGTGTAGCAACTATGTGACTTAGGGGACATCTTGCTTGACTTTAAGAAGTTGACTATGTTGTTTGAGCATCAAGGTAAACTGTTTTCACTAAAGGGTGTGGTATCTTAAATGAAGAGAAGAGAAAGGGTAAAGAAGAGAAGAGTGAGCAGGATCAAGGAAAAGAACCAGTAGTGGTATTGCAGGAATATGAGGAGGTATTCATGGAACCAAAAGAATTGCCTCCCTTCATATGGCAATTTGATCATATCACATTGAAGGAAAGGTCCAACCCCATCAATACAAGGCCTGATACAACACATTTGTAACACATTTGCACATTTGCTTTTCTATTGGTGTTGGTAGGCAAGAAAGATGCCAGCTAAAGACTGTGAAAATTACAGCACTCTAAATCATATTACTATCAAAGACAAATATCACATACTTATCATACAAGAGTTGTTGGATGAATTGGGATGTTAATATGTGTATTCAAAGATAGACCTCAGATTTGGGTATCATCATATTATACTGACACCACCTGATGTCCACAAAACTTACTTTAGGACACATTATGAATATCTAATCATGCCTTTTGACCTAACTAATGCTCCTTCTATCTTCCAGATCTTAATGAATCGTGTCTTCAAGGAGTAATTGAGGAAGATGGAGGGTTCTAGAATTATGGAGAGAGTGTCATGTCAGGTTAAATTTACCGTTTTGCCCTTGGTCGTCCTCCTCTTCATGTTTCTATAAGCGTACCTCACTCTTAAGACTTATGAAGAATCATATGATTCATTGTTGTTGGGGTTGGAGGAATAGAGATGGAAGAACTCGATTCTTCTATTAAGAAGGGTTAGAAAATCTGGAGTCTATTTTGTGCTAATGAGGAAGATGGAGGGTTCTAGAATTCTGGAGAGAGTGTCATGTCAGGTTAAATTTACCGTTTTGCCCTTGGTCGTCCTCCTCTTCATGTTTCTATATAAATATATATATATATATATATATATATATCAGCCACAAGTCCAGTGTCCCTTTTGTATTTCTCAATGGACACTTTTCATCAACAAACCAACATACCTAAAGAATTCATTTATCCCAAAGAAGACTTAATACAAGCACAAGAGGAGCTAAATGAGCCAATAATAGACCTAGTTGGAGACATCAATTCTGTGTCCATGCTTGTCAAAACAGCTTGCTTGAACCATGGATTCTTTCAAGTTATAAACCATGGAGTTGATTCTAAATTAATTAACATGGCTCATGCTCATGTCAATCATTTCTTTAAGCTTCCATTAGAAGTAAAATTAAAGGTTCAAAAACAACATGGTAGTTTGTGGGGTTATTCAGGTGCCCATGCAGAGAGATTTACTTCAAGATTGCCATGGAAAGAAACATTATCCTTCAATTTTCATGAAAATGGTGGCTCTAATAAGAGTGGTATTGTTGTTGATTTCTTTGAATCTTCACTTGGAATAGAATTTGAACAAATGGGGTAAGTTTTCTTTGCACATTTTATGTTGAAATTGATGTGAGGATATGTATCTCTGTTTGCACTACTAGAAAATAAGGAATCAGATAAAATTTCGTAGCTAAACAGTAAAATTTATATGTTAATCTCATTTAGCTACGAATTAATGATAGACAAAATTTTGTAGCTAAACATAAAAAATTCTATACTAATCTCATTTAGCTATGAATTAGCGTCGAATTAGAAGAATATTCATTAACTTCGAGATACTTAACATATTTAATTCCATGTTTTCTAGTAATGTATAGGTTATCCAAAGTTTTTATATTTGCTTAAGATTTTATATTTACTACTTATTATGTATGTGTTTGAATTATATATTATCGGTATAGTGTGAACAATTTCTATATCATCATTGCAATTTTTAAAGTTACCACATTATGTTTGCGATGATTCTAAATTACGACATGTTAATTTAGATTTATTTAATTTGATAATGTAAAGATTCTACACACTATCCATATACAAAATTTTAGTATTTAACTATCATTTCATTAAAACAAATTATACATCATTTATTCATTTTACATGAAAATAAAATACCGAATCAACCTATTACTGTAGCTGATCTAAAATATATCATGGAAGATGAACAAATAAATTGCCTCAAGGAACTCCAATATATTTAACATACATATATTTTATAAACTTGATAGGTACGTATTTTCTCAGACTAGTTTCTCCTATGTCATCTAAAGTACTTGATATTATCTAGTAGAAACTAATTTACGTTTCAGGTACGTGAACAAAATTTCATATTGATAGTTGATAAGATTGGAATGATACACAAAAGATGTAAATAGACTCTTAATAGTGTAAGTATTTTGGGAAAAAATGCACTGAATTGGTATCGTAAGTTAAAGGAAGGAAAACCAACGACTTAATATATGTAAACCGATTATAATGTAAAGAATTTCTTGTATGTCAATATGTTTTAAATAGCAAGTAATCTGTCTTATTTTTTGAAGTCGTTGATCCTACTTTTATGGATTTGTCACTTGTGATTATCAACCACATGACCATTCCCCCCCCTACAGATTGGTGTTTGAGAGATACTGCAAGGAAATGAAGAGAGTAGGACTTGTAATCATGGAGATACTTGGTATAAGCCTTGGTGTAGAAAAATGTTACTACAAAGACTTTTTCAAAGATACAAGTTCTATTATGAGATGTAATTTCTATCCAACTTGTCAAGATCCTAATTTAGTCCTTGGAACTCCACCTCATTGTGATCCAAATTCATTGACAATTCTTCATCAAGATCAAGTTGGAGGATTGGAAGTCTTTGTTGATAACAAATGGAAATCAGTCCAACCTAGGCATGATGCACTTGTCATCAATATTGGTGACACTTTTACGGTGAGTCCTAGGTTAAATTTTTCATGATCTAGTTCAAAAACTTCTTTTTTTTTTAAAAAAACTAAAAAAATATATGCTATGACAAATCAAATGTCAATTATGAAATTAAACATCAATACAACAACAACAATCCAGTGAAATCTGACTAAGTAGCTAAGGTATGGGAGAGTAGAGTGTGCGCATACCTTACTATTACCTATGGGAGGTAGAGAGTCTGCTTTCTATTATACTATTTAAATTATCAAGAATATCTAGATTATTAGAGTTTTTGTAAGAACTAGGGTCAGATAATTGCTCCAAATAATGTAAAAAACATGTCATGGCTACAATTTCTGATTTAGTATCATATCAAATAAAAACAAAATTAGGTATTGTTTGATAAAGACAACACGTATGTACGTGATAACTTTATAAAGATAATTTTAAATTTAACTAGTCATTGTAAAAATAAATTGTACCTCCAAAATAGGGCTAGCTAGAATGAAGAGAAGAGGTTGTGGAACACAACATGATAGGAACAAGCTAAAGTACTATAATCTAATGCTTGCAACTTCACCTTTCATCTCTTAGGTACGTTTAAGGTTTTATAGCATGTTTGGCCAAGTTTCTACGAAGTTAAAAGTATATATATATGTACGTTTATCAAAATAAAATAAAACAAAATAAAGAGTAAATCGAATAGGTATATGTTAATTTAACAAGCATATATATATATATAGAGAGAGAGAGAGTGAGTAGTATGACTTAAACCCTACTAGAAAATAAAAAGATCAGTGACGGATAAATCTATAGCTAAACAACAAAAAATTCATGCTAATCTCATTAAGCAATGAATTAGTGATATATTATAACATAATTAAATTACCGCAAAGATTACTAACAAATTCCGTAACTAATTTTATGTAGTATATCATATGCATATAAAATACTCAGATATGTAGTAGATAATACATGTAATATGGTCAAAAAAATTTGAATTATATTGTGTTGTTTTAATTAAATTGCAGGCATTATCAAATGGAATATACAAAAGTTGCTTGCACAGAGCAATAGTTAAGACACAAGTTGAAAGGATATCTTTGGCTTTTTTCTTGTGTCCAAAGGAAGACAAAGTGGTGGTACCCCCACAGCATCTTCTTGTCTCCAACTCAAGAATTTATCCGGACTTCACATGGTCTGATTTGCTCTATTTTACACAAAATCACTATAGACCTGATCATACTACTCTACAAAACTTCACTCTTTGGTTCCTTTCTTCTAAGCAGCCATAGCAAAAAATAAAAACAAATTAAATGTATATCTACTTTTTGTTCCTTAGCTTCTATATAATATAATATAATATAATATATATAATATGATTGTGGGCATATTATATTATATGAAACTTCTACTACTTTTAGTTTGTTTAGTATTGACCTGCGACTAAATTAAATGAAGAGATGTGATTGGTCAAGAATTTATATAATTGATTCATTCTGTTATATGACCCATTCTCTTGGAAGTCCACAGTTATGTGTGTCTGGTATGAAGAAAAAATAATAATTTGGAAAATGTTTTCTAATTTTCTCATATTGATTGGCTGAAATGTTTTTCAAATCAACTTATTTTTCTCAATTTAAGAAAAATAATTTACCTCCAAAAAATGAGAAACATTTTCTTAAACTCTTTTTCAACCTCACTGCTCAACTTTCCACCCTAACTCAAGTCTCTGATGCCGAGTTTTGATACTAATTTGAGAAACGACTCATAATTCTCGATTTAGGACCTGACTCCCAACCTCGATTCGAGACTCAATTCCCTCGTTTGGATTGGGGTCGAATTTTGGGTGTCGGGTTTTGGTTCAGAAGTCTTGTCTCAATTTGGATCTTGGATCACGAATTGATAGTCAAGGTCAGGTATCGGGGTTGGATCTTGAATTGGTCGTTGGGGTCGTGTCCATATTCAAATGTCGGATCCCAGATTGAATGTCGAGTCCCGAATCGAGAGTCGGGGTCATGTTTTAGGTTGGATCTCGGGGGATGGATCGTCGGGGTTGTGTTCTGATTCAGATCTGGGGGTCGAGTTTCAGTTCAAATGTCGGGTTTCGAGTCGAGTGTCAAGGTTGGACCCCAGATTACTCATCGGGGTCGCGTTCCAATTCAGGTGTCGTTATGTCAGGGTCGGTCCGAAATCGGTTATCAAGATTGGTTTCCGAACTAGAAACTATTTTCCGTATTTTCTACCCTCTAGCAAAAAATAAAAGATATTATCTGAAAAATATTTTTCATTCACCAACCAAACATAAGAAAATAAGTTAGAAATCAACTTATTTTCAAAGAAAATATTTTCTCCTTCATACCAAACTCCTTCGTCCAACAATAGTTGTCCACTATATTATTTTGGAATGTCCAACAACACTTGTTCACTTTATGAAATCAATAAATAATTTTACACTTAGTTCCTAATTTAGCATTATTGTTAATTATAGTCATTTCTCTATTACATTTGTCAATACATTGTATTTATTATATATAAAGGGTAATATTGTAGATTACCCTTTTATTTATAATTTCTTAAGAAGTGTGTAAAATCAATAGTAGACAAGTATTGTTGGAGTAACTATTATGAATGTATATTTAATTTTGCACATTTTTCATCAAATTTCCAATTCCGCCCCTAAGGTTACGTCTAGGATTACATCAATTTTGTCTGAGTTCACAACTCGAAATTATAGTACTAGATGACATTTATATATGCATACAAAAAATAAGAAGACATCAAATATGTACAGCTTACCACTAGGACCACCTTAGCAGGGGCGGCTTTAAAAAATCGGTGGCCTAATGTCAAATTCGAATGGAGGCCTTAAATTCAAATATATATTTTTTATGAAGTTTATTATAGTCAATTATTTAATCTTTCTTGAAACATAGTATTCATAATTTATCGAACTTCTATTACTTCTTTGCTCTTTTATGAAAAGTTTTTATTTTCTACAAGTAATACTCGATATTTTTTTAATAAAAATACGTATAACCTATTATTATTTTTAAAAATGAGGCCCTCAAATTTTGGGGCCTAAGGCAATTACTTTTTTTTTTTCAAAGTTGTAGAGACGCCCCTGCACCTTAGGAGGAACTCCTTCGCTGTTTAGAGAATTGGAATTTTTATTAAAAAGATTTAAAATATAAAAAAGTAAACACACGAAAACGGTAAAGAGATTTCAACATACAATATATTTGAGTGAAATGTAAAGTTGGTACTTGGTAGTTAAAAAATTACTATAACTAATGACTACATTCAATATGAAATAACTTCAATATTATTTTAATATTAAAATATTACTCAAACACACTTCTCATACATCTTTATATGTGTATAAATATTACTGTGAAATAATAAAAAATCGACTATTAGGATGTAAACTAAAGCATATGGCCACGTGAGTTTGTAATATTTTGTGTTGAGTTTGCATATTTTCAATTGTTTTTAAAACTTAGTTGTATAGTACTGATTTTTATAGCGAAGAGATGTCAATCGATTCTTGAATAACTCCACCATTGAAGAGAACTACATAAAAGCCCCTTTAAGAACAAAACGAGAATTGAAAAAAAATTATAATGCTTAAGCTAAATTTCAAATAAATACTGAGTGAAAAAACAAAAAATATAAAAATTCATAACTTTTCAAAGAAAATAGACATTTGACCAACCTCGAATAGTCCAATGAGAGGAGGCCCTTCCATATGGAGCCAAAAACTAGCCGATATTCTAGGCAGAGTACGACTAGATCTAGTACTGCTGCATGAAATGGATTTTAACTTATTGTCTATTTTCTTTGTTTTAATTTGCTTATTTTAATTTAATACAAAAAGAATTTTTAAAGACGAATCGTGTAATGTTAAATTAAAAGCAAAAAACATAAATTTCATTAGTTTAGAAGCCAATTACCCCCCTTCACGTGATTTTTCAATATTACGGATCTTACTAAAATTTTGGACTTCGAATCGCTTCAAATAAATGTATCTCGAATACATGAAATCAAAATTTGATATGATTTATTTGAGATACACTGAATCCAAATAGATTCACATGTAATTTGACTCTCTCGCTAGCCGCGTTTCCTTATCTTGCTCTACTCTCTCCTTATGTATTTCAGTTTCAGAATAAATCTGGTATATATCTAGTATCTTAGATACATGTATCTAATATGATTCACATGTAAGTGAGATACATAGATTATCTCGCTCGCCTCTCTCCCTATTTCAATAAATTTGATAACAAAAATACATGTATCTAGCCTCTAGGTGTATCTAACTTGAAATTGAGTATGAAATTATAATTAGTGAGACAATATGTAATTATTTCAAACTATATAAAAAATTAGTAAATATAATATGAATATTTGTATACTTAGATAGTTTTTCCTTAAATTAAAAATATGTCAAAATCAACCTAACCCATCCACTCGTATAAACCACGTTGCATAGGTGATGGGATCATCTTTCCAACTTCCATCACTTTTCAACTATGGAAGGAACAAATTATTGCATGTACTAGTTAGCACACATATATCATTAATTCACTAATTATTAGTAGTAAAAATTACAATTAGAATTTAAGAAAAAAATTCACTCTCTCATAACAGAAAGTACGCTAATGCCCTTACCGTCTAATTTTTGAGGTGTATATATCTTTTAGACCAACGGAGGAACACGTGTCTAAATCTTAAAGACCTATCCAAATTTTACCTATAATTAAAAGACACACCCAAGAAATTCAAAACCCACCCAAATAACTTGAAACCCACACTAATTATAATCCAAAACACCCCAAAAACTGCCATGGTAATAAACCTTGACAAAGATTAAAGTGTTCAAATTGACTGAGATTTCCGACAAAGTTCAAATCTTCTCAACAATTTAGTCCTCAAAGTGCTCACTTTATTTTTATTTTTTTGGAGCATTTCGATTTTTGAATTTGTCTTCTCATTTAGTGATGGGTTTTTAGATCTGACCTGATGATAGTATGTTGTTGAGATTTTTGATAAAGTTTGGATATTTTCATCAATTTGGTCTTCAAAGTGTTCCATTACTTCTTTAAGCATATTAGGGCTTGTAATTTGTTGATTGAAGTATAGTAAATTCTTACCCTAAATTTAATTTTTTTTCCTTGGAATTTTAAAGTTTATTGATGTTAATTTTGTTTCGATTTGATTCTTTGATATGCTTCAGTGTATTGCTTTTCATTTGAGATGTATGATGTTGCCAAAATGCTCATTAATCTTGTGGTCTTGATCATGTCATATGAAAATTAAAATTTAAGAGTTGCTAAAAAGAGAAACGTTCTCTTTGAAAACGTTTTTTTTTAAGAAAAAAGTCAAACAAATTACTCCCTCCGTCCCTATCTACTGTCCCTATTTACTTGTCAAATATTTCCTGATTTAATTTCCCTTTTTTCTTGTCATTTCTGACAAATCAAGAAAGGACAATTTTTTTCTTCCTATTATATCCTCATTTTATTAACATTGAATTAATGTTTTTGAAAAATATAGTGCGTAAATATATTTAAGCATATCAATTAATAAAGATAAAATAGTAAACTCACTATATCCATCATTATTTTCTTAATAGACATGTCAAGTCAAAATTTGAAAAATATAGTGCATAACTTTTGAACTTCTTTCCCACAACACCATAATCTTTTTCTTTTTGGTAAGGAACTAAAAAAGAGCTATAATGTCAAACTTAAAATTTAATCTATAACCTTAAAGGCTAAAATATACTTTTGAACTCCCTTTACCACTTATACTAGAACTAGTTTAGTGTACGTGCTTCACACTGATATAGGTGAAAATTCCCTTATTTGGTTTCATCTACTGATAGTTACCCCTCCCAAACAGGCTCAAATCTAAGGCTTCCACACGATTTGCATAGCTTTTGAAAAATCATCAACCACTTACACTGAAACCACAATATAATTACAATTGTAACATGTCAACTTAACAAAAAGTAAAAATAAATAAAGAAATAATGGAGGACACTTTTCTCTCCAAATGGTTACATAATCTTCTGCTTTATTATCTAATTCATTGCAAATATTTTTTTGCCTTGCAATCACTAACCCATATGTTATACACACTAATGAAACAGCACTATACATGTGGAAAAATGAGGAGTTTTCAAGTGTAAAACAGGATCAGCTGAAGATAAATGTGCTGATTACAGAGATTGGCACCTGATGCTCCCCAAAGCACAAGAAACTTCAGCTTCTAATCCTGGACAGTGGACACCATCACGCTTACGGCTTACCTATACAGTCTA